AACGACAAACATTATTTTCATTAACCTTAACACTCAGTATAATAAGACGATAATGAATCATTAATTGTTGAAAGACACACAAGGAAAAATTAAAAAAGCCATAATGAAAGGGCATCGGCGCTAGCGAATATGAAAAAGGAGCCTTTCAGCCTGACTGAAATAATAATGCAAAGCCGAAACTGTTAAGACCGATAGGAATATGAAAATTTTTGAGTAGATCCTATTTCTAAGGCGTGCTTATTAAGAGAAGATTTTTAGAAATAAAAGAGGATGTGTTTCAAATTCTTTCTAAAATCCACCTTTAATAGGATGAATAGGGGATGAATTATAAGAACATTAAGGAAGTTTACAGGTTCCCTAAAAAATCAGAGAATTGTCGGCTTTTTCTGAATGTAAAATGATTCGGAAGTTTTCCAGAGAATTTACAACAATTATGAGATTTTCTGAAAAAACCCGAAAAAATCCACGAGTCGTTCAAAAATTAGAGAAAATTTTCGGTATCTCTCAAATATTAGAAAATTTTTGATTAAACCATGGAGGAACAATTGATAGGAAAAGGTGGAATTTTCCAAATGAAATTGATATGAAGTAGTCACGTGACACCAACTACTGCACTCTGATTCAAATGGGAAAGAAAAACAATTTGAAAAATCGGAGAATATAATTTCACAAAAATTTCCAAGTTTTTCAAGCAAAATTCACAAGAATTTCGGGACTTCATGGAGGATTTGACAAAAATTCAGATGATCCATCAAAGTTTCAAGTTCATGGCATCGTCGAATGAAATTGTGAAAAAGATCATGAATGACGAGAAAATACTCCGAATTAGCGAAGGAGCATCAGAATCTGTCATATAATTTTTCCAGCAAAAATAATTAAATGCTTTGGTAAAGGTGTAAAGGAGAACAAAAGGGGTGGCGAGCACTAAACAATTCTGGGTTGTGTGAACTCCTATAATTATTGCTTCGCACTCTGAATAGAATTTTTATTATAATCATAGTTAGAACTTCATTCAGTGAGTACAAAAATTAAGAATCATTGAATCACTCATTGAAATATTGAAATTAAACAGGTGATGACCCGATAAGCATTGTGTCCATTAATCTTAATACTCAGTTTAATAAGACTATAATGAATCAGTTTTTTGAGCAAACTTCCAAAAATATTGGATAAACGGCCAGAAAATTTGATTATTATGGAATTATTTTTATAAAGGAAGGTCGTGGTCTCCGGAAAATGCGATTTTTTCACTCATCCAATTCATTAGTCTACTCTGAAAAGTCGACTCTCTATTATTTCTCAAGATTTTCGAAATGTTTCCTGATAATTATGAGTAAATCGAAATACTATTGAAATGAAAAAATTAAGTTTTATGGGCAGTTCAGTAGTAGTTCTTAGGAGACATTTGATTCAGTTTGAAAGGGAAAAGAAATCTGATGGAATTCATTATTTTCTCAACGGCATGAAAATGAAAACTCTGAAGTGACTTAGTTTTTTTTAACAAAAAGGGAACCTAATTACTCTGTCTTTTCGTTTGATACACCAATTATCATAATTTTCCATATTATTTGAGTCAAAGGCAAATAGAATGATTCAAACTTCTTAATATTGCGTTTGCCACGAATTTCTGACTTTTCTCAGGTTGAACTACAGGAGGATATGAATGTAACGCAGTGGAAATGATGATTAATTCACTTTGAATGAATAGCAATTATAATATAAAAATAACCAGATTCTATTATGAATAAAAATCTGTAACTCAATATTTCATGACAGCAGAAATCAAGATATTATGTAATATTATCAGTAGTAATACCACGAGACCTCCAAAATAATCGAATATTTCCCGATTGTTTTGTTGCGTAGCAACGAGTAGATCTTTTGCAGATTAAAATTCTCGTGCAAAACTTATCCCGATCGTTGATACCCAGGAAAACATGAGGGAAATGTTCGATTAATTTTGGAGGTCGAGTGGCTGGTATTCAGTGGATTATTTTTGGTAATCGGATCTGGTCGTTTTGACTTCCTTCATGACTTTTTTCACTCCAGGATAATATTTGACAGTTATTTGGTTAGAGAAACAATTGCAGAGCTAGAGGTAAATTATCAAAAGCTACAGGGAAATTATCAAAAGCTAGAGCTACTTCATGTTATTGAATACTGAGCTCTGATTGGCCCAGGGGAGGCCAGATCCGATCACCAAAAATAATCTGAATTATTAACATGAATTCCAGATTCACAAAAAGGATGGAGCATAGTTCAAACTTTCATTTTCAGTTGCAATTTTCAATTTGGTGCTGAAAAGATGAAGTGGCAATATTTGAAGCACGGAATCATATTGATGATTTGAACAACAGATGATTTAAATCACCGAGAGAACTGATTAAAATATTTATAACAGTGTTAACATGCCCTCCTACCGGAGTATCACCGAAAATTGAAATCCACTCATTAACTTTCTGAATTATGTTTGAGAAGTAATCGGATTATAATTACGATCAAAATGTTATTCACTGAGCATAGGAAAATCTATTATTTCATATTAGAATACTGAAAACAATTACTTTATTTTAAGTACATGCGCAAGTTATTCATTGTAATAGAAAAATTTCACCGCTAACAAGAAATTGAAAGAGGAAGTATTGAATCTGATACGAAAAAAGGCGTAATCAAAGGGTCACCAACATCACAGCCGCGATAGCACGTTAAATATGAAAAGGGAGCCCTTTATCTCACCTGAGATGATAATGGAGAGCCGAAACTATTAAAACTAGGGATATGAAAATTTTAGCCTTGGTCCTAATCCTGTTATGAGCACTCATTAAAAGCTATTTTTTGAGAGAAAATTTCTGGTATTTCTCTTATATTGAAGAATTTTTGAGTGAAAGATGGGACAATAATTGGTGGGAAATGATGAAATATTTCACATAAATACGATAAAGGGATTACTTGACCCAAGAAACAATTCATGACAATTTCAGAATTCTATGGAAAATTTGAAAAATTTTCAGATGATCCATCAGGTTTAAGTTTATAGCATGGTCAAAAAAAATTGTGAACAAGAATTTTTTCAGCCAAATAATTGAGTGGTTCATCTAGATAGTGAAAATAAAAGAGGGAGGCGAAGACTACACAATTCGGGGTAGTGAGCAATTTGATAAGTATTGTTCTGCATTCTGAATATAATTTCAATTATAATTATAATCAGAACCTCATTTAGTGAGCCCGGCAATTCAGAATTAGTCAATCACTCATTGAAATATTCAACTGGCACCGAGCTGGATTAAGGTTTCATTAATCTCAACGCTTTGTATGATGAACCGATAATTCATTAATTTTTGAAATTAACAAAAATCAAAGATGATAAGAAACGGTACAATAAAAGGTCATCAACGTCGCGGCCGCTTGCGGCCGCGGCGGCGCTAGTATATATATGAGGACCAGGAGCTGGAGCCATATCCCAACCGTTTTATTCTTAGATTTTCAGTATGAAGTTGAACTGAGGTTCCAAAATTACCAAGGTTTTTTTGAATGATTCATAAAATTTTTGGTTCCAAATATTTATACCCGTTCGTACAGAAATTTTGAGATATTGCCGTTTTTTAGTTTTGAAAAAATTTTCCATTTTCGTACGCACGATAATTTGAGAAAAAATAAAAATGTCAGTTGACATTTGATATGATGATAGCTCTTACAATACTGAAGTTTGGTATTTTGGACAGGTGCAACTGACCGAGTTTCGGAGATATTTAACCTTATGTATAAAAGTGTTGCATTAAAAGGTTGAATATTTTTCTGTAGATACCCTATATCATGCCATTACGGTTGTATGCCTGCTACAAGGATAGAGAATTGTTACGGATCCATTCGGAAGCTTATTACCAATGGAATTAGTAGAAATAAAAAAAGAAAGTAACTCATACCGTAAACAGTAATGGTATGCCCTCTGTAGGATAGGCTTGAATTCCTGATTATTTTTTGAAAGACATTCTCAAACCTATTAAATTAGATCGAAAAATTTCGAATCAAAAATGTTCAATCACTCTAATTGAGCCGTTGGTTTTCTACTTTGCCGTGAAACTTTTTTTTATGCATAAGTATTTAAAAGGACCAAAAAAATTGCCCGTATATAAGGAGAGTGTCATCGATCCTTTGAATGCGACGTCAATTGATATTATGAACAAAATTAATTTTCCTAAAATAAAACAGAGAATTAATACAATAATAAAATTTTAGTTTATTGAAAAAAAAATGAAACAAAATTTTTAGTGGAATCATAATTGTTGTTGGGGTATTCTGAACAAAAAGAGAATCGTATTCATCAAATAAAAAAGATATTCATCAACAATTTCTTCTTCATACATGTCAAAGTAATTTCAGATGTGCAGTGAGCTCATCCACGATACTATTAGGTCCAGGACCAATACCCAGGACTGAAGTTGTTCCAGGTTCCAGTTGAGTCTTTCCAGCATCTTTGATAACAACAGCAGTGAGTCCTCGGGTCTTGACTTCTTTCGCCAAATCGTTAAGTTTCTCTTCACTGCTAATTTTCAGGACAATCTTCGGTTGTCCTAAGAAGAACCAGGTGTCAAGAATCTTTTTATTCATTTTTCCACTTGAGCATCGTTGTACACACTCTACAGCAGCATGAGCACACTGGGATGCTGTCTTTCCTCGACCCATTGCAATATCACTTCTCACTACTAACACCATCTTACAAGACTCTTCGGGAAAACCGTTTGTAACAAGGTATTTCAATCGTGATATAATATGGCTCATTATGACTCGTTATTTATATGTAATGTATTTGTGCTCGTCGGCTTGTTTGTTCTGGTATTCTCCCATGCATACTCTAAATTTCTGGAGCTGATCCTGACATTTACGCCAGTCTTGGGTCTCAGCTATGCATTCCTGTAAAACAAAATTTCTCCTTGGTGGTTGCCTCTTACAGAGAATAAGTTTCAAAGGATGTGATGAGGCGAATTATGCAGCCGGTGGGGAGGGGGGGGGGGAAGAATTGTGTAAATCCCTTGGAAATTGAGAATATTTAGTCCTTACGCCCACGACAGTCCTGTAAAATTGTTAGGTCGCGTCGAGAATATCAGTGGGTTTTATATTTTTTGGGTCGCTGATCACGAATCTGTCGGTTACTTTTCCGAAAAATTGACCCTTCAATTGTTATTAACAATTTTAATTGTTTAAAAGGCTTTATCTGGCAAACTATGATAGATATCGGAAAAATGGTCAAACAAAAGATGTTTGATATGCAAAAATACTCATTTTTTATTTTATACTTTTTCCCCCTAGCTATGATAGATACGGAGTTATCGGGGGGTGGCAGCGGAGCGGGCGCCGCGTGAGTATTCGCGCAGGGTGTTGGCGTGCTCCGATGCGTTTATCAGGACACTCGATGCAGATAGAGAAAAATAGTTCAAATGGAAAATATTTGCAATCAAATTTCCCATATAACTGATTTATTGACATTTTTTTCCTACAACCAGTAGTTGATGAGATATTGACGCCATCATACTGCGTGATCGGGCAAATTACCTAGAACGCTTTTGTTTACTGTTGTTTTATGAGTAAACAATTGGAGATGAAGGAAAAAATGTCGCATAATAGATGATCCCCCATAAAAAATACACACTTTTGATCTTTTGGTCTTTGGCCTAATTTCCATTATTTGCGGAGATAGAGCCCGTTGTAATACTGATAGTCGTGGCCCCGGGTGACCCCCACGACCGCCACTTTGCTAGTGACATATCAATGTTTTTGTAAAAAAACTGCGCCAAGAAAAAGTTTTGTTTGGTTCTTACTGGAAAGTAGAAATTTTTTAAAAATACAAAGGAATGAAAAAGAAAGCCAAGTCAGCAATGTCGAATAAACGAAAATAATGCACAATCAGATTTCTATAAGAGAAATAGTTTCAAATCGAATGAGGATTTTAAAAAAATTCTTGATGAAATAAAAAATTAGTAGAAGGAGGACCAACGTTCTTGGCGCGGATCAGAAGATGGAGAATTAGATTGATACGAGACAATGAGTTGAAAAACTCCGCGCCAAGAACGTTGGTCCTCCTTCTACTAATTTTTTATTTCATCAAGAATTTTTTTTAAATTCTCATTCGATTTGAAACTATTTCTCTTATAGGAATCTGATTGTGCATTATTTTCGTTTATTCGACATTGCTGACTTGGCTTTCTTTTTCATTCCTTTGTATTTTTCAAAAATTTCTACTTTCCAGTAAGAACCAAACAAAACTTTTTCTTGGCGCAGTTTTTTTACAAAAACATGTGTTTTTGTTTTTTTAGGGAGATTTCATTATTTTTTTCAAAATAAACAAGGAATCGTTTTTATATCCTGTAAATTTTTTCATTTTCAATTCAATTCGGCTCATTTATTTTTCACACGATAAATCATCTTTCCAATTAACAATCGAAGTAAAACAAATAGTTCTATTCCACAGTCGTTATTTGCACCGACTTTTAATTATTTATTCAAGATTTTCCGACTGAATTTGCTTCTTCGAGAATTCATTTGTGCACGAAACTCGAATGAAAAATATCTGTGGAATTCATCATTCGTGCACCATATTCAATTTGTAAATTCCCGGGCTTCCCTCCTTGGTGCGTGTGGTTGTATTGCACTGCTACCAACTCCGTAACAAAAAAATGACAGGAGTTGATGTGAAATGCGAGAATGTGCATATGAACCCGTTGCTATGCGCGTATTTTTTAAAATATTGCTTCGAACAAAAAAATAGTTACATCAATGAGAAGCTTGTGGCCAATTTATATAATGTAAGTATAGTATATTTCAGTACATGTGGGGCAATTTCGTCTTTAACGTGTGTGGGGTTTACAGCATGAGCCGAAGGCGAGTGATGTAACCACACACGTTAAGGACGAAATTTTCCAACAAGTACTGAACAAAATTTTATGTCACGAAGCCTGAAACCGGCTGAATTAGACACAAGACGCGGAGCGTTGAGTGTGTAATCCAGCCGGTTTCAGGCATGAGTGGCATAAAGAGTTTTTTTCATGTAGCTCGTCAGGTTTGTATTTTATTTAATGGATATGATTCGGAGGTAGTGGAGGGGGTAGTTGCTTCGTGTATAGATACACGGCAGCGATCGGCCTGATGTTTTGTACAATCGGAGTCAAAACTTTTCTTGGCCGATACGCTGCCGCGTATCTCGATAGAAGCGCCAAAATTCAAATATAATCATGGTCCATACGGTGTACAACGAAACGCTATCAAAATAGCTACAGATCAACGGTGGACAGCTTTAAAAACAAGCATATTTTGTGATATTAAAGTTTTACAAAGCTCGTTTTTCATAATGATAACATTTCTATCACTATGATTGGTACAAATTGATAATAGTCTCATAACCATTCATATCCCATTGAATATGGGACATTCAGTTGTACGCTTCAATAATTTGTTTACTGAAATGGTGTTCTATAAATTTGTCTTCTCACAAAATTTGAAATTGTAAAAGAATAAAAAATTACACATTAGTGGATAAAACAATTTTCCTTCAGTGAGAATGTACATTAATATCAATTTTCGAATAATACGTATGTGATTCCGAGTATTCCACCAAAAAGTGAGATTATATTTCCTTTTATTCGTGAATCGACGGTATGGTATCAAATTATATCCTGCAAACTCTCTTTATCATGCTTTAGCCAAATGCAACTGTTCCTACCTGGATCGATTTTTGAAAGTATGATACGTGGAAGTATTATACTCACTAAAAATAATTGCTTATAATTCTATTCATTTCCAAGATAATCAGCAGTCAATTTCCGAAAAAGGAGAATTTACTTTCATTTTCATCGGACTAGATACCAACTTCAAATCAGTGAGACATTGATAGTCGTGCTATCGCAGTTAAGTTAAAATGTTATTGCTGCTAATTCAATCAATTTACGATACTCTACAGGTCGACAAAAAGAGTTATACATGCTATAAGCAATACAACACCTGAACTCTTCATGATTTTATAATTTTATCGTATCATTATGATAATTGTTCCATCCATCAGAGTTTATACCTTGGGCATACTCTGCAAGTATAAATTTCGAATCGAAGAAACTTCATTTAGTCCGAAAAATGTCGGTCTTTAAAAATGTCGGTATATTACCGTCAATATGATATTGCAGGAAGGTACCTTCGGAGTTTTCGTTTCAGTGTATCTCAGAGATGGGATCACTTGTTCCGATTCTCTTAAACAAAGAGGATTGACTAAAGTAGAGGCTCAGATCTCGGGGTTGGAGTGACCCCAAGCCAAAAATAGTTTAGTGACCCCAACGGAGGGATGGCGCCACGGTCGAATCTGACGGCTGGGCGAACTGCCTGTGCGGGTAACTCGGCAGTAGCCACTGAAATGTAGTATATACTGGAAAGGGCACTGATCCGCCTGACGCGAGCCGACAGAGAGGGGCGATTTTCAAGGATACCTATCTCTCTCGTACCGTCCGCTCAAAAAGTTTTCAAACGTTCTAGAACGTATAGAATTCAGTATTGGCGTTCAATTTTTGTTGTTGCATCATTATAACATAGAATTGATTATTTTTTTCCAATGTAATAATANTGGCCTAGCATGGCAATGCCCTTTCCAGTATATACTACATTTCAGTGGCAGTAGCAGTCCCGCCAGGGTTGCCACATGGGCACAATTGTGCCATTCCGGGCACTTTTTGCTCCTTGCTGCCCCAAAAGCCCCCCTTTCAGATCACGGGCACTTTTTCATTTCTAGGTCTCAGGATTTGGACGGTGACCTTATTTGCATGTTTTTTTTCTTTTTTTTTTTTTTTTTTCCATCAGGTGGCGCCAGAGGGAACGGACGATCCGTGGAAATTAACAAATCTAATTATTTCCTCCACACCAATTCCCAATCCGTGTTGGGTGTAAGCTAGCTATCGACTGCCGGCCGGTACAAGCGAATATACGTATTACGCAACAGTCGTTCGAAGCTACCCAAGCGACTGTATCGTGGTGATCCCTTGTGTTTACATTTCGTGCAGTATTCCATCTACCTACGAACATTGAATTTCATTTCTAATTCCGTTGCAAGTTTTCAATTCAAAATGAAGAGAAAAACTGTGGCTGATTATTCTCAATTCAGTCAATCGTTTGACATCAATACCATAATTACTAATCAACATTCATGTGGAATCTAAAAATAAGGGTTTAATTCTCTTCTCCACTATTTTTCACATTTGTCGGTATTTTCTATATTTTCATCATTAGGTTTGTCATCAAAATGGTATCAAGGAACACCAACTCCCGAGCTTCGAGTGATCGGCCTTGGGACGTAGAAACTAATACAAATGATCAGAATGGAAATAAAATGGATAATTTCAAGACCGTATTGAGTGTTGACGAAACGAGCATTGAAGTCCAATGCGATGAAAATAACAACGAATTTTTCCCTGTCAGTAATAGCAACACTCAAGTAGCTCCATCTAGCGGCACTTTTTGGTGTTAGCCGGCACTTTTTGGTCTTAGCCGGCCCCTTTTCGGAGCCCCTTTTCATTTGGTGCTGCGGCAACACTGACTCCCGCTGTCACAGGGATAGTTTCGGAGGGGAACTTATGCCGTCCTCGTCCACAACATGTTCTTAATGTTTTTCAGGTGATTCATTTGCTGGCTAATTAATATTAAGGAATGAAACCCAGACGGTGTGATGGAGAATTAAATTCCCCATCAATCGATCCCCGTTGAATCCCTTAATCTCTATAACAAAAAAATACAAACTACGACAAAGTCATGGGCCAGTGAGAAAAATAATTTTATGTCATAGGTGCCCAGAATCACGCGATTCTAACGTCGCTTCGCTCGGTGGAATCGCGGATTCTGGGCCCTA